AAACTTTATGACACCCCTTTAAATGTAAGTACATACATACATACTTTTTCTCATACATTAACTACATTAATAGTGGACCATTTAACTGATGGTAAACAGCACATTGCATTCCCACTCTAAATAAATAATGTCTAATGCCTAATCTTGAATCTTTTTAAACACGAAAAATATTTCTTTAGTTTAAAGTACACTGGCTATGACAAGGAGCTGAGTAAATATTGGACAAGTATTATTTTAATACCCTCCAATACCATGAGGGCACGTGCTTTGGGCTAAGGGGCCCCCAAGTCAGAATTAATATATTACTTTTTCTAATTTCTAAAATATTTTTAATAAAACAACATAAAAAAATATATATTTGTATTTTCAAATATTTATCTGAATTTTTAGGGGGCACCCCCTAAGATACTTCTTTCTGTCAGATTCTAGGATTGCCAAAGTTTAAGCACAATTGGAAGATGTTAACCCGTGCCACTGGGGCCTCAAAGTTCTGAAAATCTCGATTTTTTGGCGACTACAAAGAGCTTTTACAATTGGCAGTGATACATCTTGGCCATCTTGACGGAAAATATGTGCGCTTCAGGTCTCGAGGTCCAGTACACCATGCCCGGTGGATGGCGAAACCTATTTACTGTCTGAAAACACAATTCTTTCGTCACCAGTTTAAGCTGACTTCCCAAGAACAAGAGGCCCTAGAAGCACTTTTTGTCTAAAGAAACCCGACATTGATTTTGTAAAACCACCCTTTTGTATACGAACCTCCCATACAAAATGGGAGGTGCACTTCCAATGACGATATTAACATCTCAATGAAATGAGCAAACTGGGAAATTTAGAAAACTAAATAAAAGTTGATTCCGTATACGCTAAGCGCGGTCATATTTTTTTTTTTTCGTTTACATACATACATATACGTTTATTATACATCATACAAGCTTATAAGTTATTATAATTTTTGTATAGAATAAAATTTTCTATATCTTAGCTGAAGATAATTTTTGTGTATTATTAGCCATTTTCAACAAATTGTGCGTTTCTTTTTCTTGGTAGTGATATTTTCAAATGTCAATATGTAAATATGTATTAAATTTTCTTTCATTCACTAGTTGAGAACAGAGAGTACGAAATCTGTCTATTCAAAAATTACAATTTGGTCACTAGTCGTACTTATAAATTTAATTAGAAAAAAATGGTGGACATTCCTGCTAAATTTTATAAAACTCAAACTGTCTTTGATAAAAAATTTGAACATTTTTGTTTTCAAATGGAAAATTATAGCCTTTGCAAACAAAAAGGCAGTTATCAAAAGTGCAGTCGGGCATATATATGTATATGGGAACTAGGATTATATAAAACTTTCCTATGCCTAATTTTAATACTATAATAATTTGCTGAAAAAATACTTTGGTAAGGTCAAATAAGGTCCGATGATTACATGATGAACAAATATTTTGTAATTTATTTTAATCTTTGATTTTTAAAAGTGGTGCATTTCTACAATAAATATAGTAATTAGTTTTTGAGTACTCGTATTAACAAATACTTAAAATATCACTCATTATCTCCATATTCTGTGATCTTATGTTGAAGGTTACAAATCATTCATCACACACTTTTTGTGTTAATTTCATAAACACATAAATAAAAATATGAGTAAGTATTTAAGATTCTGGATATCGGCAATACGAATTGCTCTCAATCAATTCATGTGGTATCCATTCCTCATATAGAGGCAAACGATTCTTTAGGGTTTCAACTTCTCGTAATATACGCACAACATTACCACCAATCAATTTTTTAATGGCAGCATTTCCCCAAACGCGATCTCGAGCTAACTCAGCCAAAAGGAAAGCGTATCCCTTTGGAGCGCCACTTAAACCAATATGATCGACACCAGCTACCTTTCGCACGTAATTAATGGCATTAATGGCTTCGCGAACACTTATCAAGCGTTCTCCGCAACGTTCAAGATTAAGCATGATAACACCGCCATTGTCGGGAAGTAAACTGGAAATAAATAAAAATTACAATAAAAACTTAATCAAAAAATTTAATAATTTATAAAGAATTTACCAACCTAAGAACACGATCAGGAATGGCAGCTACATTTGTACTATTGCAAAATGATGAAGGTGCTGAGTTTATTAGCAATACGGGAGCTTTGGCTGTTCGTAGAGCAGCTACCATTGCAGTATCAGAAAGATGAGAGATTTCAATTAGCATTCCAATGCGATTCATTTCAAATAACATTGTCTAAAACAAAGAAATAAAGATATATAAGTAGTTTAGAAAACTACTTCATGGCTTTGAATAAAATCAAGGTTGGACACCGTTACGAATATCAGTTTTATACCTGTATATAACATGATTTCTGTACTTACAAATAATTTTGAATTGAACAATAAAGTCGTTAAAAAATAATAACATCAACAATATGTTATGTTTATGTAAATATGTAGATATATATTTAAAGGAAATCATAATGCCAATTTTTAAGGTTCATGTTATTTCGTCAAATATTTGGTGTCTTTGTATACTTATACCGGCATCAAAACTAAATACATCAAACTTAACTAAAAGTTAAAAGAAACATGAAAGAATTACTACTTTTAATACATTTAATAATAAAAAGGTCCTTTTGGAGGTTTTTATATATATTTTTTCATATTTCTTCCAAAGGAATGATATGAAATTTTGGTATCATAAGAATGGTCCTTGAGAGACACTTTCAGCGGCATATAAAAATTTTTTGAAATTTTTCAGATTTTTTCCATTTTAACACAGATGAATTTAATATAATCTGTTGAAATTAATGCATAATAATCCTCAATAAAATTTAAAATAATCCTCAAATAAATTAATTTCAGAATTCCAACATTATATTAAAAAATTACAAATTGAAATTGAGAAATTAATATATGATGAGAAATTTAAAATTTGTATGGAATTATTTGAAAATATTTTTCTTATAAATTTTTTAAATAGGATATGCATTTAAAATATTATAAATTTCAATACAAAATTATTATTTGCCAATATTAATTTAGTTTTTCTTAATATCATTTTGTATTTTATCAATTTCAATTTGTATTGTCCCAATATTAATTTCGATTTCTCAATATAAACTGGTTTTTTCTCAATATCATAATAAAACATGGTTGTATCATGCTCAATATTAAGTTGGAAATTCAAATTTCAATTTGTTTTTTCTTAATATCAATTTTGAATCCTAAATTTAATTTGGTATGTCTCAATTTTAAATTGGATTTCTGAAATTCATTTTGGTTTATCCCAATATAAGTTTCGTTTTTCTCAATTTAAACTTAAAATGGTGTAGTGTGTACATATTTAGTATAATTATGTTAATATTTTAGTTAAACTAAAAAATTTGTTTTATAATAGAATGAAATCATAAAGTGTATATACCAATGTAAAGCTAATAAAATTATGCTTATACTGATATACATATTAAGTACGTTAGATAAATTTAGCTAGCACAATACCGGGGAGAAAATAGGCTTTAAAATTTTCAAATAAAATACAAAACATATCGTTTACGTGAAATAATATGAGGTTTATAATGTAATTTTCGGTGGGAACATCAGCAACTTCAATTTTGGGTCCACTCTAATGTACATACTAATGTATGTATGTAATCAATGGTATTAGTAGTAAGTGTATTACATAAACATGGTTGAAATATTTAAAAATCATACCTTTCCGAAATCATTAATGGAATTGGTCGCATTTCCTTCGACTAAATAATCCAAGTTTTTAGTCGACGCCGCCCACGGAGTGGTACATTCCAAACTAGTGATCGAAACAAAACGAGCACCTAGTAAATACATAGAACGTAGAACTGCTAAACTTGTACCCAAGGCATGACCTCCACCAAGTCCCATTAATACAGCTACTTCACCACGAATGTGGGTTTGTTCCATTTCATCGGCAGATTCAACGATATGCATTGAATCAGTAACTGCTGTTATTCGTCTAGCCTCATCAATCCCTTCCAAGGCCAGTTGCACAGCATCCAAGTACTGAGCCCCACATGGCACCGCAATAGGCCACAACACTGCGCCCACATATTTCTGGCGCATTTCATTCATGCTATTGCTGTAATTCTGTTCGCGTGTTGGTGTCCAAGAGCCCTCAATTAGAGGAGCTTCACTCAGTAGTCGTCTGATGAAAGCCAATCTTGCTTCCAGCAGCGATGATTGCCTGAGTTGTAATGCAAGTGGAATTCCACCGGCCATGGCAATACATGCCAACATTACCCCCAACACAATGAGAATTCGTTTGCTTCGGGACTTTTTAATTTCAGATTCTGTTGGTGAATCCATGCCTCCCGAACTACCACAAGGATCCTTAGTATACGGAGATATTCCACCGTTTTGCATCTTTTCACTCCCAATTTTGGTTATTTCCGGTGGCAACTCGACAATGTCTGCAATTTCAGTGAATACAAAGCACTGTTGCTTGCAATGTGGCTGATGTTGATGTTGGTGATGAGGATGCAGGGAATGTACCTCAATAAATCCATGATTTGGCACCGTATTCATTTAAACCGTATAGTTTTGGTCAAGTTACCAAACAATTTGCAACGACAAATGAAGTTTTCTTTTAACTTTTAAATCAAAGAAATATATTCCAATTGACTATAAATTGGTGAAGAGGAGTAAATTTTATTAATTCTGTATGTGTTATTCCTCCTTTTCCTATGCTCCGTCAAGTTTGTCCTTTTATTATATGATTCGGCGCACTAGTGATAATCAGGTTAAGTAATTCTTTTTGAATCTGAGTTATTTTAATCAAAATTTAAACAAGATTATAATGAAATATTTAATTTCCTCTTAAAAATTTTGAAAATTACCGTAATAAAATAAATAATTGTTTAAAAGATTTTACAATACAAAATCCGTTCAGTTAAAAAATCGATATGGCTACTCTTCTCTTTTACATATTGTGATGTTTTTTGACGTTTTACTTTCCACCAACTTTCCTTACATTTTTAGTACACACAAATGCAACTGTCAAACAAAATCAACAACTAAAATATTGTAAACAAACTATTTAGAAATAGCACGTGTAATATAAATAAAAAATAACATAAGAACTATAAATGTTAAATAAAAATGGTTGAAATCGATGGTTATAAAGGTGAGAAAAATTACTGTAAATATACCTATTATATTATACTAAACTTTGAGTATTCTTAGTTGTTCCTCTGCGTTTAACACCTGAAGTAGAGCACTGCCATAGCATTTATATGAAAGAACATTTCATACGTCTAATGGATCCTAATAAACCCAAAGGACGAACGTTGTTTTTGTTAAATATACCTCCCTATGTAACGGAAAAAAGTCTGGAGGAATTTTTCAGCCGGACGAGCTCAGTGATGTCTGTCACATTTGCTGAAAAACCAGGCAGAGATGAAACAGATAAATGGCTACAAAATACCACCGAATTCAGCAATAAAGAAGCACCCTTTAAATTTAAAGTTGCTTACGTAGTGTTTAAAACAACCAATAGCGTGGGGAGAGCTTTACAAATTACCAGCATTGATTTATTTAATGATGCCACCGGAGAAACGATAATTGACAGTGGCATGCAGTTGTGGCATTCGCAATACCAACAGAAGCTTTTGGATGTTGCCAAGACTCAAAAATACATAGATGAATATATGGCCGACTACGACGAAAGGGAAAGAGAAGCTGCTGCAGCTGCTAAAAATACTGAAGCCGACGCCGACGGTTGGGTAACTGTTGGAAAACAAGGCAGAAATTCTGGATTTGAACAAAAGGATACAGTCATTGGCAAGTTGGAAGAAAAAATTGAGCGCGGAAGAAAAAAGAAGGAATTAGCTAATTTTTACACTTTCCAAATTAGAGAATCCAAAATGAAAAACATAATTGAATTGAGAAAAAAATTCGATGACGATAAAAAGAAGATCGAGTCATTAAAGCAGACTCGAAGATTTAGACCATTTTAAATGAAATGTAAACAAATAAATAAATAAATAACAAACAATAAATAATCATTATTTTTTAACGTTTTATAAGCTTTTATTCGCTGAAATTACAATTTTCATTAGACTATGAGGGGGTAAAGATTCGAGAGCACATAACAGTTGCGGCACATTACCATATACGCAATTTCCACTTAGACCTACTTGAACGGCCTGTGCGTAACGTTCCAAACATTTTTGAAAATCAAAGTTTTTAGATGGATCTATTTCGTCTGCCGTTAAACGAGCAGCATGATTCTTTAAAGGTACTGCGATCATAGCCAAATGTTGAGCACTTACTGCAGTTGGCGGTCCATTATTAACAATTTCTAAAAGTGTCTGCAGCAAGGATAAATGCAAATTACTATAAGTATTACGATTTGACACAAGCGGTGATAAAACCGACCACCTAATTAGGCCAGCGATAGGTGTTACTACCGGCATTGCTATGGCTCCTATGGGCAACGCTAAAGGCTGCTGCGATGCTAAACATAAGGAAGGATTTTCGGTAACCCATTCGCAAAAAACATCTAAAAGTGCATCAGGTGGTGCGGTCAAACCACCTCTTTGTTCATTCAAATACAAATCTGCTACTGCTGTCATTAAGTTGGCTGCAAAGTGGGGGGCCACCAAAGGCAATTGCTTTAATTGCTCCGACGTTTTACGAGAAAATATTATGAAATCACTAACTAAACTTTGTGCGACTTCTAAAGAAGGTGGAGTTGTGCAACCAACCTGTTGCATCCATGTACCTGCAGATGACAACAGTGGAGCTACAGATCCAGATACAGCTGTACTTATAAGTTTGCACAATATTTTAGAGCGTTGAGGAGTCAAATTGGTGCCAAACAGTGAAAGGAAAACTGCGTTTCTAGTCGAATCTGGACCGGGTTGTGAAAAAAATTCTATGAGTACTAGTATCAATTGAAACTCTTGTATTTTATTCATATGCATGTTTCCATATGATTGCGGCGACTGTCCTCTCCGTACGTCAATATCCTTGCTTCGTTCCAAAAACACAAATTCTGATATTAACTGCATAATAAAGTTTTGCTTTCCACGTCCAATAATAATACTTTCTGAAAATAAAGAAAAACCAAGTTAATGATTTTGTTTATTTGTTAGCTTCCTTTACTAACCAATACGTGGTAAAGCCTCCTTAACACATGCTGGAAATTCCAATTTTCTTAATGAATGTTTTATATCAGCTTGACTCATTGTTTCCAAATCGATTGAGTTTGCAATTAAATTTTAATTATTTTTCTTAACAGATTAATACATGTAATAAACAATAAACAATGCTTATTTATAAACACTGTAACTTGTATAGACGACCAGCTGATTTTTTGTTTATCGAATTGACAGTTGGGTAACAACAAGACGAATGTACACAAGGTGGTGCTAGTTCAGTTTCTGTCAAAATTTTGTATAGAATAGAAAGTATAGGATAGTCTGAAATCAACACACCTTGAGAGAAATATTTTACATAACTAATGTGAATTATTTTAAAAACTTTAAATTTTACTTTTTGTTAGTAAAAGTTTTTTACTTTTTTCCGGCTTTTTTCCACTTTCGATTTTAATTTGCAAAATCGATTCATCGACTTTTTTTCTTACAAGATAGTTGACTTATAGACTTTGTTTGGACAAAAAAGTCGACTTTTTCCGATAAAAAAGTCGATTATTCAATTATTTTAAAGTCATTCTATAAAAACCTTTTCATAAGCAAATCTTGTTCGAAAAAAATACATTTTTTTTAATAAAATGTTTTTTTTTAATAAAATCTAGTAGATCTTAAAAATATATGGGAAATCTATATGATTTCAACTCATTTTGCTCAGAACAACTAGATTTGCTCAAAACTACACTTTGGAAACACGTGATTACTTATTTAATATACGAGTGGAATTTTATTTGATTTCCATATGAAAAGACATACATATCATAAAATCTGATAGTCTCAAAAGCACTTTAATTGGTGATGGCAGCCATATCATTATCTAGTACTGATAGCTAGAACCTCCATATGTTTTTCGAGTTATCGAAATGTGTGTGGAGTAATCGTAAACACAAAAAAACAAGCCGATTATTACAAAATACATTGGAAGTAAAACAATTTCAGAAAATTATTATAGAAATAAAAAAAAATTATAAAATAAGAACATTTATTAACTTATATTAAAAAAACAATGAGTAAAGTTTTAGAAAATACTACTGATTTCTCCGGATTGCATGCTGCATTTACGGTATGTCAGCGTAACTTAAAACATTTCATATTTCACCACTTACAATGTTTTTGTCCATTCATTTAATAGGACGCTTTAAAGAAGGCTTTTGAAGACGATGATGTTAAGATTTTAAGAAAATCATATGATAGTTTCTCGTACAACTCTGATCACGATAAGAAGCCACCTATGGACCAAGCTTTTAGAGAACTATTGATATTCAAAATGAGCAATGACGTTCAGTTGATTGGGAAATTGGTTAAGCTTTCTGTAGCCGCTGTAAGGGCGGAAATTGTGTCTGTAACTATACCGGTAGTGTTATTGGGTGACATTTTTGAAACAGTCACGTTGGACAAGTGTGAGAAAATCTTTAATTACGTTGAAGAGATGGTGGAGGTGTGGAAGGAGGAAATATTTTTCTCCTCTTGTAAGAACAATATATTGCGAATGTGCAATGATCTTTTGAGACGTCTTAGTCGTGCTCAGAACACGGTCTTCTGTGGGCGAATTTTATTATTTTTGTCGAAATTCTTTCCATTTTCCGAAAGATCTGGTCTGAATATTGTTTCGGAATTCAATTTGGAAAATGTAACAGATTATGGTGTAGATGGAAAAGATTTAGACGACACATTGGAGGACATTGAGGATATTCCCATCAAAATAGATTACAATTTATATTGTAAATTTTGGTCTCTTCAAGATTTTTTCCGTAATCCAAACCAGTGCTACAGCAAAGCGTCTTGGAAAATGTTTCAAACTGTAAGAGAAGTTTGCAAGAATTGTAATTTAGCTTGTTAATTTATCTTATTTTCAGCATGCTACCACAGTCCTGGAATCTTTTTCCAGCTTTAAACTTGAAGATACTCGGTCCAATTCCTCGCAAGAAGATAGCGGCGATGATAGTGAGAAAATAGATTTGGATGATATATACAGTAATGATTTCAAAACCGGTATCGTCGAAGTTGTCCAAAAGGTCGACAATTTCTTTGCTAAATTTTTAACAAATCCAAAACTATTGGCTTTACAACTTTCTGATGCCAATTTTCGACGTGCAGTTTTAGTACAGTTTCTAATTCTATTTCAGTATTTGCAGCTTACAGTAAAATTTAAATCGTAAGCATTGTACATACATTCCTCTGTATCTTCATCCAGCTTTAAACTATGTCTAACAAATTCCAGAGAATCGAATACTTTAACTCCTGCCCAAACGGAATTTATCAAAGAAACGGAAACCAAAGTGTATCAGCTGTTAGAGGAAACACCTCCCAATGGTAAACGTTTTGCACGCACTGTTAAACATATGTTGACTCGTGAGGAGATGTGGAACAATTGGAAAAATGAAGGCTGTAAAGAATTTAAAAAACCAGAAGACTCATTAATGGAAGACAGCCCACCTCCGGCTAAAAAAGAACGTAAAACTTTGGGCGATTGCTTGAAAGAGGCCAACGGACAATCAAAGTTTTTCCTGGGCAAGTATGTAAAGTATAAGTATAAGTTTGTTTTTATAGATTAACCCTTAATAGCCTGATTTGTTTGTTTGAGCTGAAAAAAAATTAATGTTATAAAACTTTCCATTTTTCACACATTTCTAAGCAACTTTTGTTCTACAACTTTGTTCATATGTAGTATTTACCTGTGTTTTGTGAAAAATACCTGGTTGGTTCCTAAAGGATCCACCAGTCACCCGGACTTCCAAATTATAAATATTGTAAAACGTACTTTAAAGGCGAATAAGCAATTTCATTGTTAATGAAGACAATTATATTGGGATATAAATACAAAAATATATAATTAAAAAATGTCGGAGGTAATCACGAACAATTTAGTGCCAAATACTCATATTAAAAATCACATCTACTGAAGTAGAAAAGATGCATTTGCAACTTTAGAAGTGATTTAAATGTCATATGTAAAGATCCACTTCTAATATTTTTTGCTGGGATATAAAACAGCTCTTTTCTGATAAAAAATATGATTTTATGCGACTTTTTCGACATCGAACTTTCGTTAGGGATGAATAATTTGGATATTTTGATCGCGTTATGCCTTATAATATAAATTTTGGTAAGAGTATTATGTGATCTAGGTGAATATAGCTAGTTGGCAATAAACAGAGATTGTACGCCGACGTTTCAAATCAATTTCAACTCCAAAATTTTTTGGTCGATCTTTTCCCACTCGAATTTTAACACAAGATTTCACCAAGCAATCACAGACTACTGGCACAAATGCTATGCTTCATTTTGAAATAAATCAATCAAAAAACATCCCAAAAATATCGATTTATATAATCTGATATATGAAAAAATTTGAAGTCTGGGTGCCTGGTGGTACCTTAAAGAACCAACCAGAAATTTCTAAAAATCTCTTTAACTAAAGAAGTAAAATCACTTCAAATACCTATTAGTACAATAATATTAGGCGACGATCCGTAAAATATGTTTTTCTGTTTAAAATTTTGTCGATTTATACTAAAACTTTTTGTCAAAAGTACACAATATCACAAAATAATTTTTTTTGAGGTAATTGCATTCTTTTGAACCTGGACATGCCAAATGAAACTTTATTCAAATACCGATCAAAGAAATTAGTGCCGCTTTAAAAACATTTTAAAACTCAAAACATGAAGTTGACATATATTTAAATAACAAAAAACTTAATTTTTATTGGTTGGTTCCTGGCGGTACCACCAGGCTATTAAGGGTTAATAATACTATAGCTGTAGCCAGTCTTTATTAATGGTACTGGTACTATATAACCGTGTGTGGGTTCTTTGTTAATATGTTCTTGACTAGGAATCAATGATTATTATTTATTAAGTAAATTTGGTTTGGCTTTCCTTTATAGATTTATCGTTACAAATCTAAATAGGGACCCTCCACATTCCTATATTACAATTCTATATTTTGAATACATACATTACAAATATTTTCTTCAACTGTTTTAGTGAGGTCTTAACGCGTCTGTGGAACTATTCACCTGATAATTTGCAAGCATGTAAAAGTGAGGAACGAAACTTTCTTCCTCAAGTTGAAACATATTTAGAGAGTTCACGAGATAAAAATGACACATCTTTCGAATGGCGTGCACTACGCTTGCTTGCACGACAGTCCCCGCACTTCTTCACATTCATCAATTCGCCATCCTATAAAATTTCTGACTACTTAGAAGCAGTCCGTAAACGTCTGACTAAGGAAAGATTAGATGCTGCCAAACAAGCTGCAGCTAATGCTAATGGGTCGAACCCAGAGAGTACGCCAACTTTGTCGGAATCACATGAACAAGAAACCGTTGCCTTACAGGAACAAGAAAATGATCACGATGGTAACGATGAAGGCGTTCTGGGAGAGGAGGAAGAAACAAATGATCTGGACAAGCCAGAAGAGGACAACAACGGACATTCCAATTTAGTTACAGCATCGAAAGAACAAATAGAGGAATTAGCACCATTAATTGGTGACGATTGGAAAAAATTGGGCAAGAAATTGGGTTATACAGCTGACGAACTCTTATATTTCGAAACAGAACACACTGAACGAGATGGCGGCTGTGTAGCAATGCTTGTTAATTGGTTTGCTGATGATGACGATGCAAGTCTAGATAATTTAGCATACACCATGGAGGGTCTCGAAATAAATACTGCTGCCAAAGCTGTAAAAGCACTAATTGAACGTTTATCTAGTAAGGTACCTTCTATTAAAGATGACGGAGATGATATGGACATAAAAATGGAAACAACAGATTAATTAATAATATTTAATTTCATTTATTCAAATTAATTCATTTTTGAAACGAAAATGAGAAATCGTTTTACAAAAATAATTTATCACATGTTTAGGAGTAAATTACGCATTATTTTTTACGCATAAGCATTAATTATTAGTAAAATAAAAAACAAACTAATATTATTGTTATAAGAATATAAAAGTAGAAAATGATTAAATCCTCAACGACATTTTGTCAAGGATTGATAAAAACTTTTTATTAGTTTGGACCAAACATCATTCAACATTGCAAGTCCAAAACTTTACATATCCCTTTATCTTATTTTGCCTATTAATATGTTAAACACGCTTTCTTACGGGTTTCGGCTTATTATGCTGCATATTGGCGCACTTGGGGATGTGACGTTCTGCTGCCGCTTGATTAAAACGTCTACTACAGTGAGGACATTGTATGTAATCGGGATTTTCAGACGGCGGAGGCGGTGGTAAATCACTTAATTTTCCTCCTTTGGCTAGGTAAGCTTGAACCTTCTTGGCTTCTCTTATGGCTGCTATAAACTCTTCATGCTTTTTTCGCCAACTGCTCTTCTTTTCTCCAGAGTTGGTTGGTTCTTGAGTCTTTTTAATTGCAGCCGTTACAGTTTTTGGACCGCTCGTGCTTGAAACTTTACCTTTTTTTATATATTTCTCTGCTTCGGTACCCTTGACCCGATGTTTGGAAGCATCAAATATTTTACGTTTTTTAGTCGTCATCTTTTTACAAACATCCTCATGTTTAGCCAAACGATCCTCATTGAAGTTACGTTGACAATACTGACAGGCCGCCATACCTGGTGGAGGAGTACTTATTCTGGGTGGCGGTTTAACCGACTATAATAAAAAAGCTAATTTTTAACGAAAATCCAGGGAATTTGATTTTGTTTAACTTACCAATATGAATGTTGCTGGTTTAGTGCTGTTCGTTTTGTTTACCGTTGTCTAAAAAGAAAAGTGATGTCGAAAATATATTTAATTCATTAGAAATCAATTAACATTATTTTAAGATATAAAATTCTTGAATTGAATATTGTAAAATCTAGAATAAATTGGATCTGAATAAATGTGATTTGAGTATCACAGCGAAGTCCCAGATTTTGTAAAAAACACTTCTGTTTTTCAAAAATTGCCTATCGAATATGAAAGTTATCAACCGAAATATCGGTGAAAGGTAAACTTAACGAGAAAAATATGTACATATGTATTATTTATTTAATATATTATTTACCTTAATACTTTTAGCTGTTGATGATGGTGTTGTTGGTGATTTCACTAATGGCGATTTTAAAGAGTTGGGTGTAGTTTTGGAAAGTGTTGATACTCTACTGCTAGTACTCGGTGTTCTGCTTGTCGTTTTAGTAGCCGTTGTAATCGGTGATTTCTTGGTAATCACAGGATTCAGTTTAATACCATTTGTCGTTGGATTTGTTCTCTTACTGATTACAACAGTACCGCCTAAAACATTGTTTTCTTCATTACTATTATTATCAAAATCTCGATCACTTGCAACATGTGAACCCATTATATGCGTGTTATTTAAACTCAGCGATGAAAATTCCTTAGGAAATGTTTCGTTGTCAATGTTGTCAAGTTCATCGAGATTGTTATTGAATATATTGCTATTGCCATTGGACACATTTTTTTCGCCGTATGTAGAAGATGTTGTACTTTGCATCAATGTGCTATTCGTTATTACACGTCTGGAAACATTTGCTCCACCAACTGGACGTTTATTGGTAGCTGGCTGTTGTGTTAGATTTCTAGTTGTTAAAGACGAAGTAGTGGATGTCGCAATTGGTCGCAGAGGATGACTACGATCTATACCAACACCACGTCGACGGTCATCAAACATTTGACGAACCTAAAAAATAATAAAAATTAATTTTAAACCGTTATAGTGTTGTTATAAAACTCTTACCTTCCCGTTACCAATGGTTGTTTTCGATGCTTGAGAAATGTCACCGACCGTCAATGCCAGTTTCTTTTGCTCGCGTTCCAACATTTGTTTCTTTTGGAATTTCATCTGCAAATTTAAAGTAAATTAAGTTATTCATAATAAAGCCAACTACTAACTAATTAGCAGCTCGATTTTTCATTATGAATAAGACCATAAGAGTTTGAATATTAATGTAGTTCATTAGTTATAAATTTTATTGTACCTATTCTACTCGCTTTGAGTTTAATATTAAAAACACAAATACATGTTCCACTTACATCTAGAGACGAACTAAAATTACTTGGTGGTAATTGACTTAATGCCTCTACAAGTCGTCTACCAGCCCACGATTCATTCAATTGAAGTGGTAAAAAGTCCGAATATGAATAATTTTGGCTTTGTTTTTGGTGTATTTGACCATCATCAAAATTTTCATACTTATACATATTTTTACATTGGATAATATGTGAATATGCATTAAATACTTTGGATAATTTCTTCATATGAAGATAGTTGAATTTATTTTATTGGAAGCAAGTAAATTAGAGTATATAATTGGCAAGAAATGCCTCAATAACCAACTTTAACGTCATGACGTCTTGTATTTAACTGAATATCGGGCTGTTGAAATGTCTATTCACTACTCACTAGTTGGGACACAACGACAAAGGACTCAAATGTGAAAAAGGGAAAAGAAAAGGGATAAGTAAATAAACAAACACCTATAGTACAGACAGCAACAATAGACGAACTTACTAAATATAATATTGCATACATACGCGATATGTATGTATGTACTAAAGGCCTGCACAAGACAACAATTTGTTAAAAAATGTCGTGTGCTTTTATATTTGTGCGAACAAATTGTTGTCTTATTGTTGTATTGTGCAGGCCTTTAGTAGTTACATATGTATGTACACTGAAAATAACCCATGCTTAACTTTACGAAAAAAAATTTACTTTTTTCTACTAAAAACTACTTTTTTTCGTAATATATACGAAAATTTCGTGTATAATACGAAATAGTGTTTAATCAACCCCTTTTCTAATTTTACGAAAGTACGAAAACCTGTCGTAATATCTTTTTTCGTATATATTAAGAAACTTTGTTTTCTTTTACAAAAATAATACAATAATTATTTTAAAAGAACTAACATATTTATGTCTTAAAAAAAATGTAAAATGAAAAAATTTGTTTTCTAAAATTATATAAAATTATTTTGCATTTCACTAAAATATTTCGTACAATTTCGTATATATTACGAAAGAATTTCGTGGTGCAAAACCACGAAGCATTTCGTACAATGTAGAACATTTTTCGTGTATATTGGGCATGGGTTATTTTCAGTGTATGTACTAATATAGTGTTTTTAATGTTCAAATATGTACATATGTATTATATATGTAGATTATTATCATACTAATACTTACTAACTAACACACAAAGATACATATTTTAATGCACACAGGTATGCATATGAACTTTATTTATGACTGTTCAAAAAGAGTTGAAAGTTTTCCTAAAAACGCCCAGCAGTTCGGACTAACATTTCGAACTAGGTACCGTTTAGCATTGACTACACAGTTGACTAGCTATTCTAACATGTGTTTGTCGTTGGTGGAAGTCAATCGAAAGTTAGAATTAGAGTCATCTAGATGGTTAGACGTCAGTGGTAATTACTGTCTTTTTCGGATGCATTGACTCTTTGTCGAACTGCTGGGCAGATTTCTTAATTAACATAAATATTTTTTTTAAAGAAGACTATTATTTTCAATTGTTTAGAATATCGATCTTAATCGTTTGAAAACAAACATTAATATTTTAAGGTATCAACCTAATACAAACGCATTTCTTCTGTATTTCCGCATACACCTAACAACCAATCTGGTTTAATAAAAATAATAATTATGTTTCTCGATAAACTTGTTCAGTATAAAAGAAATTATATTTTTAAATTTATTTTAAAGTTTACCTGAACGTTACAAAAAGGCTATTTAGTTAGAAGTGTGCACAGTTCAGTGAACTTGTACAGAAAAAATTAAAAAGCCTATGTGATCGAAAAAGCCTTCGAAAATCTTTTTATTTGAGCAATAAAAACTGCCTTAAGTTTTGTTACAAATTTCCTTACTTTATTATATTTAAAATAACTTACGCAATTTTGGGTTTCAGAAAAAAATAATTCTCAAGGGCACAATTTTCATATCTCCGTAAATAAAACAAAAACTCCAAAATTTTCTTCAAATGCTAATTTGTTAATAAAAAATAACATAACTTGAGAAAATGTTGAAAATTTTTTGTTTATTTACAATTTTAAAAGTTTTTTTTTTTGCTTCTCCTGAAAAATCGGTTTAATGTAAGTTAGGGCTTTTTGGATTTTATATGACGATATGTACGTATATAAAGTTTTATTTTGATCCCTTTATAATCAGTTTTTTATGCGCATACTGTACTTTTTTTTATAAAAAAGGGTAAATTTCTGTGACCAATTACACCTTTGTTGTACATACATATACCAACATTTGTTATTAAGTATTAGTATTCTACGCCACATACATACATTTGTATATATGTAAGCACATATCGTTAACTAGAATGCAAAACAACGTAACATCAAAAATTCATGATTAATTCTTCAAATGTTATTGAAAACAAAAAAATTCTCTTAATTTTCCGATTTACATCAAATATCATTATTTCGTTATGTACATACATATGCATACATATGTATGTATATTATTTGTATGTACATATTTGTATACATAAGTTCTTCAGTGGTATACGGTTACAACGAATTTAAAATTAAATTCATTGCACTCCCATCGGTTCGTTAAAAATTTCGTAAGAATAGAGTTCGACCGTACATCTGTTTGTATCCGTTTAAAAGGCCTCTTGTTGATACTTTTTATACCTAAGTATACTGTCACATATAATTTTCTGTACAATTTTTGCATTTTATTCGGTTAACAACAATTACAGAAATAGATAATTAAAACATATTACCAATAACACTTTGTTCCCACGTAACCTTCAAATGTATGTAACCTGTATGTAAGTGTAGGTGTTTCAATATAAAGCCACTTACGTTAAGTTATTGTTTTATTAAAATTTAAACAAATCAATTTTAAATCCTTATTTCAATCTAGAAAACTACTAACAAAATGAGTTTGTTTGATGAGTATGTTTATGTTTATTTATATTCATTAATGGATTGCACCTTTCGACATTTATCGTTGTCATGGTTGTGGTTATAATAATATCGGGGTACTAGCTTTGACATTAACATACACCTAAACACATTGAAGATAACCCAACAAATATTAAGTGAAAACCAGCAAAAATATAACGAAGTACTTCCAAAAGAATAACATTTATGACCGTTTCAAAAGTAGAACTAAGTAAATTACTTCTTGAGAATGACTTCAGAAGTTGTGGATTGGGAATCAAATTAGTTAATCCAACTTCTTTTTCGCTTCTTTAATGTCCTTCATCAATATGCGTAAAAAAATTTGGTTGAACTTTAAAGAAAAGTGTAAATTTGTATTAGAAGTTAGTGTCTTATTACTAATCATTAACCATCCTCGGTTAATCAATTAAGTAACTTCTATCGAATTTTCAATTACTAATTTGTTAAAATTATAATCGGAAGTGAAGTTCTATACAAAGAAGTTCAAAGAAATTAAAATTATTTCAATTGAATTTGTATTAAAAGAATTATCAATTCTTCAAACGCATTCACTTTTTGGTATTGAAAAGCAGTGTTGGCTAACGGTTTCATCCATTCATAATACAGTTTAAACAGACTTAACTAACTGCTAATTCCGGTATAGCGACTAAAACTAGTTTTATAGGAACTTAAAACTCTCAACCAAATTTTATGAGGAACGGTACATAATTGATCCCTCCCTCCATATAAGTATGATCTACTTCAGAAAATGACTTTTACGATCATTTCTGACGTAAAAATTTCCCTGAATTGATAAATTGGAAATAGTGTAATAAGCAAAATCTCTCTACCAAATTGGATCGTTCTATTGACCCTACCCCTCATATGAGGTCCCTAAATTGATAAATTGGAAATAGTGTAATAAGCAAAATCTCTCTACCAAATTGGATCGTTCTATTGACCCTACCCCTCATATGAGGTCCCATTCAGAAAATTACTTCAAAGCTCATTACTAGCTTAGAAATGCTGCCACGTTTTTTTAATTAGGAATATTTTCCTAATAAAAAATTTAAGTGGTGCTATTATTTTGACAGTAACTGCATATACATACATATGTATGTATGTATGTATGTATTTATGTGTGTGCGTTCTTAGATTTTTTTCTATGCTAAATTGACTTTAACTAAACTGTGTTTAATAATATTTTCTCTTAATGCGGCCTAGACAGTCGCTTGACTTACCTGCATTTCAGCCAGTCGTGAGTTGGCTGTTACACCTTGTGACGCCATCGCCAAATTTGTATGTAAATGATTACTGCTTTACTGACGACGAAGTTTATAAGAGTATTGTTTATTTTCTGCTGTTTCTGCTCTATCTCGTACTTGTAGTTTGACACTTGAGATGGGAGGAAGTCTTGAGCTGATGTAGTAGATGGCAAAAATCAAATCAACTGTTTGTGTGATTGGAGAATGAGTGACTAATTGTATTGAGTACGATTGTAGGTAGCGGTAGTTATGCAAAATTATTCTGGGAGAGTGAGTTCGAACTAACGTTATTATTTTTTTAAAGACTTGTGTGGGTCTTAGCTTACGCGTCAATACATATATAAAAATGTATTTACGTGAGATCGGCCAATATCAAATCGTGTTTTTTCTTTTGTTTTTTGGCTTGTTTGTTCGTTTGTTTTCTTCCAAATTTTTATTTATTATACATCTATATTTTTGCAATGATGACTCACTTTATTTCTGTTTTTATTACGAGTTTCTTTAAAAAATTAACAAATCCAATAAATACAGCAGATGACAACACTTATAATTATACTATTCAGAGCTTGTTTTATTTTAAATAGTTGTTATTTATTTCGTTGGTTTCAATTCAAAACATGGTTTAATATTTTATGTAAACTTTGAAATCTTCTTCCTTCTTTTATTTTTTGTAGCTATAAGATAATTAAAAATTTAAGAAATTATAAACAGTAATTTATAAATAATAATTCTATATATTTTTTAAAATGTAATAAAATCCTTTGAAACCATATTAGCGATAAACATACATATGTATGTATTTATTCATATATACATAGTATGTATATCGATGTAAACCCTAGAGGAAAACATTGTGTGTAGTATATACTACATAATGTAACTTGTTTCCTTTTAAATGTAAAATGATATTTCTTTCAGTCATTCTTATATTGTTCATTTCATTCGGAATTTCTTACTTAAAATTTCACGGATAACACAAGAAGACCCATTTAATAAACATTGTACAACTTTCACCTAAAGAATTTTACATACAATTAAATTTGTCCATAATTATATACAACTACATACTACATATGTGTACATATGTATGTATAACAAATTGGCTAATTCAACGTTGAGGTTTTAGGCTTAAAATTCACTGACCAAAATCAAGATTCCACTTTTAAAATGGTATGAAACAAAAGTTTGACCAAATAAATCTAATACAATAATGTGTATGGATTTAGCAAACGTTTGGTAATAATATTAGTTTAGCTTTTGGTTATATATTTGCCAAATTTAGCAGCCCAAACTTAATGCACATACATATGTATTTACATACATATGTATTGTACATACATAGGTATTTAGCTAAATAATTTAGTACTAATTTCAAAATGTTATTTAAGATTTTAAAAAATCTGATATTTGTATATGAAGGCGTTAAGTGAGAAATGGAGGAAATAAATTGTACATACATATGTATAATAATTCAATGTAATTGCGCGACAATTAATAGTTTATTTACGTGTGGGTCGAATTGTCTCCCATTCGATTAGTCAGCATCGTATACATTTTAATTATAACCGACGATTTAAGATGACATTGATCTTACCATAAAAGGTGAAATGGAAACTGTAGCAGCTGTTGCGGTAAAAAAAATTTTTTATGTATTTATAAACGCGGTTTGTTATTTAATTATATTTGGCTTCTTTTTCTATAAAACCATACAAATATAAACAGGGAAAATGTAGACACGGCAAATTTATTTATGACTTCAATTAAATTCAATATTTGTTTATAATAAATGGAAAGCAATTGACAAAAAATCAATTTCAAAATTAGTTGACACAATTTTTTAATGAAGAAAAACTTTTTAAAAATTAAATAGAAAAAATCATTAGGGCGTTCTTAAAAAAGCTCAAGTTTTACTTGCCTCTCTCATAATATAACAATATACATACATATATGTATAATGGTTGTATCATGAGTAATAATAATAATAATAGATACAAACGTATGTATGTATGTACATGCATATTAGAGGTGTCTCATTTTGATCATTAGTGTTTAAAACTAACTGGTGTAAAATTTTAGACAAACCGGATAGCGGGAAACCGTTCCGGAAATTTAATTTCAATAGAACAATTTTTTAATGAATCAAAAAAAGTTCCCGTTATCCGATTTGGCAAAAATGTAACACCAGTTAAAAAAAAAATTAGATCCATCCAAATAAAATCGATATTTTTGGATACCTTTAATGCATATGCATGTTTTTTGACAAAAATAAAACTATCGAAAAAATTAATACGACAGACCTTCATTTGGTACTTATTTAAAAAAAAAACAACTGATTTTGGGTTTTGACTCTTTAGTTGCATTTTAGGCAGCGATATAGGGCAGTAGTCACAAACAAACATACATTGTACATATGTATGTACGTTGGATGGGTCTTATTTTATTCCTTAGTGTCTAAAACTAACTGGTGTTAAATTTTTGCCAGAAATCGATTGAAAGAAAAAATTGCTAATTAATTGGACTTTTTTAAATTTGGTCGAAAATTGTTCTATTAAAAATATATTTTCTTAACATTTCGAGCAATTTTTTTCCTAGAGAAACCTTTTAAACAAGATATAGGCGTTTCCATTTGACAAATATGTAGGAAAAACGACTAATTAATTCATAATTCAAAACGCATGATTTTTTGAAAATGTTGCTTGAAAAATTAATAATAACTTTTTGTTTGTCCTTTGATATATGTAAATGTTTTATACCTCTTTAGATAGAAATAAAAAAAAAAAAAAAAAATAAAAATTTCATATTATTTACCCACTTTTCAATTTATTAATACTAATTAATAAAATAAGTTCCATCCAAACAAAAACGATATTTTTTGAGCCCCTCTAATGACATACATATACATACATATATGTATGTATGTTTTTACATTAATATATAAACAGTTTTGATCCATTGAAGATAATCTGAAGACATTGTCGATTTATAGTTTGGTGCCACAACATTTCAATTTTGAAATTGTATATTATTTTTGCTTGAACTAATCTGCAAAAATTATTGTAGTACATGATCCATTTAGGTAATCCCAAAACTATTCCCTTGTAAACATTATTGGAGTACACGAGCCGTTAAGTAGTCCTATGCAATGCAGATTTGAAACAAAATGGTCCATACCCCCATATTTTTAGCAAGGGAGTAGTTTTGGGATTACTCCGATGTAATGTATGTATGGATTCACCTAGGACATCACAATGTTAAATGGAGTATGTTTTTCCATATATTTGGATTAGTTTTGGACGAGTTCTAGTACTTTGGGGAGTAGTCTCAATTTTTGTAGGGTAGTAAATATACATACATGTATTAGAGGTGTTCAAATAATATGGTGTTAATGTAGTCCAATGGGATAAGGGGAACCCCTGGCGGAAATCGATTGAAATGTGTAAAATTGGGTAATTAAAGTTAATTTATTTTTAATTTCTTCATAAATTGTGCCATTAAAATTATATTTTCTTTACCAAATCTTATCTTCTAGAAAATTGGGTAAATAATAGGATTTTCTTTTCTTAATATACAAACCAAATTTTATCTTCTAGAGAAAATTGTCTATCCAACGAGGTATAAAACATTTATATCAAAGATCAACAACAAAGTTATACACAATTTCTCTAGCCATATAGGTATTAAAACATAATGAAATTTTTGCATTGTTTAGTCTTTGTTTTGCATGCAGAAGTGATGTAAACAAAAATATATAAAACGATAAAATATGAATTATTTAGTTGTTTTTGCTACATATTTGAGAAAAGAAAATATCATTTTAATGGCACCATTTATGAAGAAATTGAAAAAAGTCATATTAATTACCCAATTTTACATATTTCAATCAATTTCAATTTAACACCTGTTAGTTTTAAACACTAAAGAAATAAATAAGATCTATCCAAACAAAATCAATATTTTTTGGACACCTCTAATGTGTATTGCACTTAATTTCTTTATTATAATATTTAAGTAAATAGAATAAAGATAAATTCAAGTAGAGCTGCGCCTTTGAATACTGAAGAGGGTGTGCATTGAAAAATTCCAAAATCTACATTAACAATAATAAATACATATGTATGTATATAAATAGTATGTTCTTTAAACTGACAAACGTCCAACCAGCAAAAACACTTGTAAGTTTATTGACTTCTTGATTCTTTAAAAAAATGTTATGATATTTTTGTTTCTAACTCGTTAATTGTATTTAAGTAAATCCATTTACACTAATTAATGATATATTCTTGCTATTTTTTTAAATACATACATACATATGTATGTATGTAATAGGTATTGTATGTAGTCTGTGTTATGTACATACATAGGTATTTATTTATCCTTTATTTTGTGACACTTAACAAATGTTGTGTTTGACCAACATACCGTCCGTCAAAAACAGCTGACCATTTACTAGATGAAGGTTTTTGTAAGTATTTCTGTTTTTTTATTGGATTTATTATCACGCGAAGTATGAGTGTTTCTGTGCCGTTTACTTAGAAGTTTATACAAAGACTAACTGTGGAGCTAAAAAGCATTCCGACAAAGTCTCCAACCACAACTTTTTTTCCATTTAAGTTTACACATACATTTATTTTATATTTTTTGAATTAAAAACGTACAGAACACAGAAGTGAACTTGTATCTCATTTCGTTTTCTTTTTCAGTTAGCTTTACTGCTGTCTGTCTATTAGTTAGTATTGGATAAATTTGTTGAGAGAAATTCACCACACATTTTTTACATTGTCTGGCTCTTTATTTTAAAATTTAACACTCATTCGTATACGAGGAATTTCCTCAAACGGTGCTTTACGAGTTAAAAGACAACAAACAAAGCAAAAAAAGCTACATTTGAATCTTTTTATTATTGACTAACGTACTAGAACTCACGAGTTTATAATAATTTTTTAAGATTATTGCATACTTACGTACATACATACATACATTTTTTAAATCTTCTCTGTATTAAATCTATTCACAAACCGATGTATTGAAGTAAAACATTTACATATAATATTGTGCAAAATAATAGCAACAAGTTGCTGATAAATACATACATATCGCACACCTAGTACAAAAGTGACACAACTCAAAATTTTATTTTTGCGTTTTTATATTCTTTAAGCCTTAAACTATACACAAGATACTTGTTTAACTCTACAAAAATATTAGTGTATTTTGTTGTTGTTAACTGTTCAAGAAAAAACGTTATGTCTTTCTTTATCTTTCAGAATTTGTAAAAAATTTATTTCCTTTTCTTTAAAAAATTTTTTTGAGTTGTGTCACTTTTGTACTGGGTGTGCGATATATATGTTAGGGTGGCCCCGATTGTATGGGGGAAAAATAAGGTGTCAATGTTCCCACTAAAATTAAAGTTTAATTGATTCTAAGATACAATTTCTCAAAATTTTTGTCCTGGTGTCAAAAAAGGTCCTTTTTGAGGTTTTTATGATTTTTTTATATTTCTTCCAATGGAAGGATATGAAATATTGGTATCATTAAAAGGTTCTTGTGATACGATATAAATTCCATATCAGAAATTTTTCTGTAACAGCAACAGTAATCTTTCTAATTTTTCGGGAAACTAGATGATATTTTTACATTTTAACACAGATGAATTTAATATCATTCGTTGAAATTAATACATAATGCTCCTCAATGTAATATACGGAAACGTTTTTTTTTTTTTTTTTTTCATTTTTCAAAATTACAATCTAGATTGCAGGTTTTTTGAATTTATAGTCCTCTATGTGCACTACCAAAACATTGCAAAATAAAGTAAACAACAACATACAAACCGTAATTAACAAAGCAAGCATAACAAACAAGTAGATGCTTGGGATAAATTGTGTTTATATTTTTGTTAAACTGGAAAATTTGATCTATAATAGAATGAAACCATAAAATGTTATATACCAATGTAAAGCTAATGGAATTGCGCTTATACGGATTATTTACGTTAGATAAATATAGCTAGCACAATACCGGGGAGAATATAGGATCAAAAATATTTAAATAAAATACAAAACATATCGAATTTCGAAACCTTTTTATCCTTTGATCCAGCTCACCAAATATTAACGTCAGGACAAAAAAATTTTGAGAATTTTTTTAGAATGAACTAAATTTTCTTTTTCGGTGGGAACAAGCAACTTCCATTTTGGGGTCATCCTAATGTACATATGCATGTAATTTAAAAAAAAAACTGCAATTTTAAAAAAAATTCAATACTTGATGTTATCAACCAAAGAATAAAATATTCAATGCCCTCAATAAAATTTAAAAATGTTTATTTATTGTAATCCGTTCGATCATGTTTATAATGTCAATTTGTGAGTTAATAATTTTCCATCCAACAAATGAAACGAAAATAAAATAATTTCCGAATTATCAAACAAACAAAGCAATGTAAATTTTATGAGGGCTTTGTTACCCCCCTCAAAATGTTGCGTTCCATACAGTTCTCTCACTCATTTCCTACATGACTGGCATAATCCAAAAATCGGCGTTTCAAAACTAAATACTAGAGGCGTTATTCATAAACAATAACACGGTGTGACAAAATTACAAAAAATTAATACACTCTTTTCAAAACCGTTGAAAAATATTAAATCGGTTAAGAAAATTTGGAGATATAATTTTTTTGGTCTGTCTAGTCAACAAAAAGCGTTTTTTTCCAATAGCTTCCGATTTTTAGGGTATATTGAAGATTCTAAAAATGGTAAAATGATCTACTCATCTATGTCTATAAAAAGCATTATATCGCGTAACGAGTGTTTTTTAGTGTCACACAGTGTAATTTTCGGTG